TTGAGTCCATCTCCTAGCTGAGGGTATCTGAGGGTCAACAAGAGGGTTGTGAGTTGTGAACTGAAGACATGGAGAGCATCTAAGCATTATGAGAGACTTAGAAAGTCATTTGGAGAAGGAAACAAGTTGTTGATGTGATCACAAGAGCTATAGTTGAAGACAGTCAACTAGGGTTTCATCTGGGTTAACCCTAGGTCAACCCTAGGTCAATTGACTGATTTAAAGGGCATTCAAGTCTATTGGAGAGGTGTGGGGCTCATCATTTGACATATAGAGAAGGATATGGAGATATGCCAAGAAGAATTCAAGAGAAATCAAGGAGAAGAGGAGTTACTAAATTAGGGTTTCTGTGTAAAATCCCCTAGTTTAGGTCAAATTTCCAAGCAAGATAAGTCAAAATGCAAGCTTCAAATGGCTTCTTGGCCAACATGAAACTTGTAGAGGATCTCAAGACCTTTAATTTGAGTGGTGGAAGACATCAAGGAGATTTATAGAACTCAAGTTATGGTCCTTGCAAGTTACAGGTCATCTGAGGTATCTGAATTTTTGTCTGTGAAAGTGACTTGACTTCCAAGCAATTTTTACCCCTCAAGGAGATTTCAAATGAATTCTTGGTCAACATAAGAATTGTTCCTCATTGTCTTAGCTTTCTAGAATGGTATAGCATGCCTTCATATGATGTGTGGAACTCAACTTATAGTCTTGGCAAGCAAAGGGTATTTTGGGCATTTGTGAATTACAGGTCATTTTAACTCATGTCCAAAACTCATACAAGGAGGCCTCAAATGGAAAAACTTACAACATCAAACTTGCTCTAAATGGGATTTTAAGTCTAGAAAGAAGGTAAAAAATTGTTGGAAAAGCTCATAGCATGGAGTTGCATAATTGGTCAAAATTTGAACTAAAATGGCTTATAATTTAAAGAAATTCAAAGTGAAAAATGGTTTGGGAGATTTATGAGTCCAAATGGAGACTTCCAATATATGATTTTGAATGGAAAAGCAATTCTAAGAACAATGGTTCAAACACTTTTTTGAGTTTAGAAGAAAAAAAGAAAGATATTCATGGTTACTTGCCTTTTAAGAAACATTTCAAAAATGGATCAAAGTTGGAAGGCAAGGGAATGTGCAAGATGGATCTAGAATGTTCATATGAGCTCTATATATTCATGAAATGAGGATTTATCAAGGGTTGGCTTCATTTTCACCAAGAATCTCCAAATTCTCTCATTCTTTTTCATTGAATTTTCATTCCAATTCCTCAAATTCTTCACCAAATCATCATCAAAATCAACTTCATTATACTGTTTCATCATCATAGATCATAATTCAATCAAGAACCAAGTGTGATTACTCCATTTTCGAGCACTTCCATCATCAACATCAAAATTGAAGTTTCAAGTGGATAGCACAATTCAAGTCAAGAATCATCAAGGTATTGCATACAGAATCAATCACTGAGTTAATTGATCAAGATCCAAGCCTTGGAAGCCTCAGATCCACGAGTCTCCATAGCTGTTTTCAAGCTTTTGCACCAGGTATGTTTTCATTCAAATTGCTTGATTCAGTTAGTTAGGCATAGCTTTGTTAGTTTAGATATGGTGTAGGAGGTTAGTAGAGCAATTAGGTTGAATTTGGAGTGGTTTGGTGATGTTTGTTAGCAGGTGGTAGAAACTGTTAGGGCTTGAAACTTGTAGTAGAATGCATCATAAGCTTAGCTTGAGAGATCAGAATGATAACCATTAGGTATAGACTAGATTAGTGCAAGTTTGATGGAGAATTGTTGTGATGCATCTCAGAGGATTTCCATGGTGACCAGAACTTGGTGTGCTCGGGTTGAATGATTTGTTGAATTTCAGACTGAATTAAGACCATAGGCTTGTAGAGGGAGAGATTTAGAGCAAGTTTCATGTTTATATCGTGGCATTTCATGGCCTGGAGAGGGAGAACAGATGAGTTGAAGTTTGCTCGTGCATGAGCATTCATGGAGTTAAACCCTAGCTCACAGATCCAACGAGGAAGATGAAATCGTGTCCATCCATTGTGAGCAAGACTTTTGACTTGGAGAGTGATCCTGTGGCCCTTATTTGATTCAGTTTTGGAGGGAGATGCGTTGGCCCTAAACGCACCGTTTCATTAATTGAAACGGGCGGGCCTGAGTGTATTTTGTTATTTCCACCCCCAATGCCAAGCCCAAAATCATTTTGAACATGAATCTGCTTCTATTTTCACCCCCCCTGCGCCTTGTTTTATTTTTCATAATTGCTGAGTGGTTCTGGGCCTTAGTAAGCTTGCTAACCACACCCCCTGTCTGCCTGGCCCAATGAATTTTAACTGAACGCGCCTACTATTCATACCCCCTCCCTCATTTTTATTTGATTTAATTGTTTTTGTTTCTCTTAATTTTTTATGCATTTTCAAAAATTCATAATAAATCCATAAAAAATCATTTTTAGTTCATTCTTTTTACACTATTTTCTTTAGGATGTGTAGAAAATTCTCATTAAATAAAATTGCATTTTCATTTTTATTTCATATTTTTTTTTCATATTTTCTAAATAAATGTCATTTTAAATAGATTCATTTCATGCATGATTTTGCTAATTTTTGTTCTCCTAGGTGCTTTCATATTTTTTGTCCATTCTTTTTAGGTTGTTTAGATTAGATGTTGAACTTGTAGAAACAATTTTAGTTCCCATTTTTAGGAATTAATTTTAGGTGCTTAATGAATGCTTGAACAACATGAACAAATTAGGGTTTTTAGGTGATGACTTAGGAAGTTTGATTCTTTCCCTTAGGACTTAGGATTTAACTAGATTAGTTATGGGACTATAGGGGCTATGGGTAGTTATTAGATCCCTTAGAGAAAAAGTTAGGATTCCCCTACTGCTATTAATACTGTCTGTATGTCTGATTGACTGGTGTGGTGTGCCCTCTGGGGATTGTTGCTTGCTTGTTTGGGTATTGGGTTTGTCTGGGGACCTGGGGAAGCTGAAGACTTGTGGAGATGAAGACCATTGGAGATCCAAAGATTGAAGATCAACTGCCAGAGTTGAGGAGAGGATTCTTGCTAGCAGATGCTGAGGAGCCTAGGGTTTAGGAGCTAGGCAGAGCTCTAGGTTAGAAAGTTTGTTTCTCAAACATGGATTGCCTTGTCTGCATCCATTCTTCTCTGTGATTCAGAGTCTCTCTAAGACACTCACCCCCTTCCTTTGGAAGGCTTGGTGATAGTGTCTATGAGATAGAACTCTTGAGAGAAAATGTCTCTTGTGTTAGAAGCAGTCTGTTCACCACCCTTGGTAGTCAACTGATTGCTTAACACCCAATTCACTCTTGTGACTAATCCCTCATCCTGGAGGTTTGAGTATGAAGAAAAGCCATTGCAGATGGAAGACAGATGATCAAAGCCCCTTGCCTGAAGGCCATGAAGATGGAGATTGATGCTTGTTGAAGCCTGTAACTGATTGGAGATTACTTGAAGCTAGATGTTGATTCAAAGCTGCTGAAGATGTTTGTTTTATTGCTGTATTTCATTTGCTGATGTATTGATGTATTTCCCTGGTTGTATTGTTTGCTGTTTACCCTGTTGGGTTGAAAGTGAAGCCTGTTCACTTTTGCCTATTGTTTTCTAGGTTCGAGGTTGAGTGGGACTCCCTTGCCTCGCTTGTATTGCTGCATCCATGCATTTTACTGTTTTACTGTATATATCTGATATTGTTTCTGTTTCTGCCTATCCCATAGGATCTCTGTTTCTCTCTGTGCAAGAGAGGAGCATGATAGACACTAGGTCTTAACCCATGCATGATAACATTAGGTTAGTTTGTTTCCCTTCGCAACCGTAGGTTAGAGTTCTGTCTCTTTCTTCCTCAAAACAAACAGAAAAACATATAAAGATTTCAAACGCAATAAAAGACACTTCTTCCGTAAAAGAATGTGAACTCATCAAAACGTCATTTTTGTCCGCCGGGACTGTTAATCAGAAAAACCTTTTTCAGAAGGAATAAAATCAACCAAGACAGACTTGTGTCGTACGTGGCCCGAACTACGTTTGCTCTGATCTTTCATGCCGTGTGAAAGTACGTAGGCATAGGATGCGATATCCTAGCGAGCAACCTTCCCCTCCTTTCCCGTAGGTAGGCGAACTACGTCGACTCTGATTTCTCGTTCCAGGCGAGAATACGTAGGCATAAAGTGCGATACTTTGCCGAGTCATTTTTATTTTCATTTTATTTTCTTTTTCACCCTTGACCTATAGTTTAGATAGAATAACAATCCATACCCGAAAACAAGCGTGGATCCCGTCGAGTACGACGGACGTGAGGGGTGCTAATACCTTCCCCTTGCGTAACCGACTCCCGAACCCAGGTTTTGGTTGCGATGACCATACCTTTCCCGTGTTGTGCGAGGTTTACTCTGAGCGTTTCCTTTCCCTCCCGTGGGATAAATAACGCACGGTGGCGACTCTTCTGTTCAGCCGGCGCCGATTTTCGCAGTAGCGACAAGGGTGACCTACTGTTCAGCAAAACCCGATAGATTCAGGGAGGTTACTGTTCATTGAGCCCTAAATTGGGCCACCCCCTTTCAGAAACCCAAAACGGCGCTCAAACCCTAAACGGCCGCCGTAAACCCTAGATTTGCCGCTGTCACCCTTCTCATCATCCCAAAACCCTCATCACCATATCCGTTTTCCTTACACCTTCTTCTTCCCCAACAAAACCACTCCAATTTCCATCTCTTCCGGCGCAAACCCTACCCCTCTCCGTTTTCTTCGACCCACCTTCCTCAAACCGTCGCACCACCACATCTCAACCTCTTTTCCCCTTTAACCGCACTCAATCCCCTTCATTTTTTTTCCTTCTCACTGTAACCCCAAACGCCATTTCCACCTTGCAAGCGAATCCATCTCCTGATTCCTCATCAGATCTGCCTGATATTGTTCTTCAAGTCCTCGATCTCAAACTCAGTGGAAACAGATACACGTTCACTGCTAGTGATGGAAAGATGAAACTGAAGGCAATTTTTCCGTTGAATCAGTCCTCAGAGGTGTTCTCGGGGAAGATTCAGAACCTTGGTCTTATCCGAATCCTTGAGTATACTCTTAATGATATCCCTAATAAATCTGATAAGTACCTATTTGTAATTAAGTGCGAATCAGTTTCTCCCGCGCTTGAAGCGGAGATTAAAAGTGAACAACCCAGTATCACTTTGAAGCCAAAGGAAGGATCTGGTATAGATTTGAAGCCGAAGCAGGGTGTTGTTTCAAAATCTGCTGCTCAGATCGTACAGGAGCAACATGGAAATTCGGCTCCTGCTGCTTGAATGACTATAACCCGTAGAGTGCGTCCTCTTGTTTCTTTGAATCCTTATATGGGTAGTTGGACAATCAAGGTCAGTGTTACAAGCAAAGGTGCCTTGCGTACATATAGGAATGCTAGAGGAGAAGGATGTGTATTCAATGTTGAATTAACTGATGAAGATGGTACATAGATCCAAGCAACAATGTTTAATGATACGGCAAGGAAGTTTTATGAGAAGTTTGTAATGGGAAAGGTTTATTACGTTTCAAAAGGATCTTTGAAAGTTGCTAACAAACAGTTCAAAACTGTGCAAAATGATTATGAAATGACACTGAATGAAAATTCTGAGGTCGAAGAGGTTGCTAGCGAAGCTAGTTTTGTTCTAGAGACAAAATTCAATTTTGTCCCAATTGATCAGTTGGGTCCCTATGTCAATAAGTCCGATCTTGTTGATGTTGTTGGAATTGTTATGAGTGTGTCTTCAACTATGGGCGTTTCTCAGAAGCAACAATTCAACACAAACTCAACATCGTCGCATCTTAAAGCTTACTCAAGCAACAACAGCTCGTAGCAGCAGGCGTTTTTGCTTCTGGTAATATTTTGAACAGGTCAAGTTCTGCATAACTTAATGATTCTTGCTGCTTATAGTTTCCAACTCGATTTCATATGATGTAGCTTTTTGTTTGACCTGCTAAACCTTCTACTGTGATAAATGTCATGAAAACCAAATATAATTCCTCTTGTTTTCTCTGTGGTAAATATATTTCTACTGGTATGTTGTTGGTTATGTTCATCGCCGCAACCAATTACAGTTGCTGTTTCCGGTTGTTGTGTTTTATTCTGCAGTTAGTTTTATGTTTGGTAAAAATTGAATAAACTGGAGATTTTGGCCTTAAAAGCAATTTTGAACATGTTGTTATCGATGCGATGTTTAGGTGGAAGTGCTTTAAATTTTGTATGTGATTTTGATTCGGCGGTGTAGATTTAATTCATATAAGCTCGCGTCGATGGTCTTTAAATTTTGATTCTTTTATGTTCAAAACTAATTTTGTTTCAGTTCAGATTTGATTGAAGTTTCTGGCTCATCGTATCGTGTCTATTGTGTCGCTTTACATTCAGTTGTTTCAGTTATGGTTGGTTGTCCTGCCGCAATGATTTGGGTTTTCGTAGCACTTCCTAATTTATATGTGCATTTTAATATGTTGCTGCTGATTTATTCAAATCAATGTTGTTGTTTGTATTCAAAAAGAATTGCCTGTTGTTTTGGGTTGCTGCTAATTTCTGTGCAGGTCGTGAACCCCATTCACAGTTCAAGTCTAAACACAAACGCCGTTGAGTTTCGATTCCCACACCACAGCGGCAACCGAGATATATGTAGCAGCAGTAACCCTCAAATTCTACAACGCCGCAGCCACAACGATGATAATCTTCTGGCGTCATCACAATTTGGCTTCACAACAATAAATCAGGACAACGCTGCTGTTGGATATTGCTTGTTTTGTTCTTTTTTTTGACAGGTTGCGACATCACCAAGTTTCAGCTACACAATGGTGAAATTCTGCTAGTTCAGCTTTCGACACAAAAAAATGCAACCAAACATTTTAATGTAGGGAAAGTCAAATGGCTACAATCAACAACCGCCGCGGATGTTACCATGTTATCATTCACGCAAAAATGGGAATTCTTTTTGTTTGTTGTGCAGGTATCAAGTCTGATGCAGGGTGAGTGAACATCATCGCGACAGACATCGAAGTGCTGCTTCTTGTTGGATTCTGGTTGATGTCAACTGGCGCACGTCCCCCTGTTCCGGCAAAGTTCATAGGTTTCGGTTGCGGTTGAGTTTATGTAGATTTGGTTTCAGAAATAACAACTTCAACTTTGATTTCGTCTCCGGTAGTCCATTCATAGCAACAACTTGCATATCCTCATGAGATTCGTGATTCAAATCACTTTCTTCAATTTCTATTCAACAACAACACGTCGCTGCAACAAGTGTTAGTTTTCTCGCAACAACCATAATTATCTCACAACAAGCTTGACAGATTTCCGAATCGTAGTTTGGTAATAGCTCCAACATTGGTAATCCTTTGATTTTGAGTTTTATCTTGTTTCAACCATTAAAAATTTTAACTTCAATTTAATGCTGGTGTGCTGTGTCGTTTTACGGCACTACGTTTGTCCGTTTGTTTGGAATGTTTTGGTATGTTACTTTCTGGTCACTTGTATACCGCTACTACGGCTTGTGTTAACATTTATTGTTGTTGTTAATCTCGTTCAATATTTCTGCTTGCATGGTCGTATGAGTTGTTGTTGGCTATTGTTATGTTACTGCTGCCGTATTGTAGTTATCACCAAATCACAAGGTTGTTTTAAATCGTAAACATGTTAAACCAGGGCTGTTTTAGTTACTCAGGTGTTGATTTTAAATACCATGTTGCTATGTCTTGAATCTTAATGTGAGTATTGTGTATCATGGCTATCAAACTCTAAGTATCTTGTTAATTATGTTGTTCATGTCATTGATACATGCTTAAAGGATTTAGATACATTCATGCTTTCCAACAACAGTTATTAAGGCAATGTTGTAGGTAATGTGTGTGGCACTGATATAATTGGGGGAATAAAATGAGGTAGTAAAATTGAATTTGCATTTCATAGATAGGAAAATGTAATGTATACAGGTTTGGTCTGCTACATTGACATAACCATTGCATTCATCACATGTATTTAGTATTATTTATAAATATTGTAAAAATATTCAAATTGTTTTTTTTTTTTGAAAACATTATAACAATTTTGTCACTTATTTCTCAACATATTTAATCTAGATTTTTCTAATTAATTTATCGAAAATAGTGGGCTCTTGGGGTTTAGCATCCCTTGAGTCCTCGAACAACCGCTCTCGAGGCGTACGCCTTGAGTTGTGGTATTTCTGTCTTTTTGGTTTCCAAAATGTTTTTTTTTCACTCAAATTAAAATTTACAAAAGATATTTTTTCAATTTTATTTAATTATATGTTTTTATAAAGAATTCCAATTATTCTTTCTTTTAAAAAATATATTTCAAAATCATTATCAAATTAATATTTTAAATATTAAACTTTTCAAAAAAATATACTTTATTTAAAACTTATTTCTTCTTAAAGACATTAAACTTTCTTTTCAAAAACAATTAATTATAATAACATTTTAAGTATTAAAAAATATACTTTATTAATTAAGTTAAAATGTTAAACTTCTTTCAAAACAATTAATAATGATTAACTTTTCTCAAATCAAAACTTTTTGCAATTGATTAATTTATATGAAAATTAAAACTATCTTTCTTAATTAAATTAAACTATTTTTCAAAATCAATGTTAAAAAACATTTAAATTCTTGGATCTCGCCTTCCTTGAATTTTTAAGCGACCGCTCTCGAGGTGCACACTTTGAGTCGTGATCCTTCCAATCTTATTTTCTAGAATACATAGCGCGCCTAGTCCGAGTACGCTAATATTCCTAAATTATTTTCCTAATTAACTTACGAAAAAATCGAGTTCTTGGAGTCGCGCATTCCTTGAATTCGAGAATAATCACTATTGAGGCGTACGCCTTGTATGGTGTGTCATTCAAACTTTCGTTCCTAAAATACCTCCTCTAGTTATTTTAGACAAGTATTTACTGTCCAACAAACATATTTCTTAATTAATGGGATGAAAAAGATTGTCGTTGGGATCTAGCATTCCAACGATATCCCGACTAATTTGTTACGAGGCCGACGTCTCATTTATCGAGTAGTCGTCATTCCTCCTAATTTTTCAAACCATCTAATCTCGTTCCTCACCTTTGTGCGATCGAGTCTAAACCCTAGTATGTTTCTAAACCATACGTCAAATCTAAACTATTTTCTTGATTAAAAATTGCGAAAGAATTGAGTTCTTGGAGTCTCGCGCTCCTTGAATTCTTGAGTAACCATTCTTGGGGCGTACGCTTTAGGTTGTGGATTACTCGACCTTTCGTCTATAAAACACGTGCCCTAACTATTTGGACAAATATCATAATTGTCCATTCAAATACAATTTCATAATTAATTGAATGAAAAAGGTGTTGTTGGGATCTAGCATTCCAATAATATCTCGATTAATCGATTGAGAGACTGGCGTCTCGTTTATCGAGTAGTCGTCATTCTCCCTTAAAATATTCAGTCCAACTCTCTTCTCTCGCCCTCGTGCGATTGAAACTTTCTCAAACATATTTCATAATTATTCGAATGAAAAAGGTGTCGTTGGAATCTAGCATTCCAATGATACCCCGATTAATTGATTACGAGGCTGACGTCTCGTTTATCGAATAGTCGTCATTCTCTACCAAATAACTTAACCAAACTCCTCTTTCTCGCCCCCGTGCGATCGGAACCTTAAACCTATTCAAATCCATTCTCTTTCCCAAACCAAAACATCCAATGCGATAAACACTAAATTCCTCGCCCTCGTGCGATTTCCAACTCAAACAACTCTTTTCAAAGAGCATTGTTTAGTCCTTTCTTTCGCGCATAACAAACTCGTGCTTCAGCCTCCCCTAGCAAGCAGACAAGCCAATGTTTAGCAGTTAGAATGTGACCTAAACACTCGTTCATTTCCAAACCTTTTACCGTAGTTAGCCGAACTACGGCTGCTCTGATCTCTCATATCTGTTGAGAGTACGTAGGCATAGGATTGTGATAATCTTAGCGAGCACAATCCCCTTTTTTCCCGTAGTCCCACGAACTACAAATGCTCTGATTTTCCACTTTTTACAAGTGAAGATACGTAGGCACAAGGGCCCCAATCCTTGGCGAGCACCCTATCTTAAAACCACCCATTCCCCCTATAGGAGAAACCTTAGAAGAAAACAAACAAGCATAACTAACTTTACTCTCGAATCGATCAAGAGGTTCTCGTTGAGTACAACGGACATGAGGGGTGCTAATACCTTCCCCTCATGTAACCGACTCCCGAACCTAGAATATTGGTTGCGATGACCATGTTCTTATCTTCTTAAAG